GGGCAGAAACAAGGACATCTCCATGGTCTGCCCATATCCACACCGTACCTGGCAAAGGATTACCTCCAGCAGAAGCGCTTCCAGGCGCAGCAAGCAGGTACGACTTACGTGTATGATTACCCTGACATGTTTCGACAAATGGCGGATTTGTTATGGAAACAATTCAGTCAAGAGCGCATGACTGAGGTTATAGTCATCCCTGAAAAAGTCATGGATTGCATNNNNATGACTGAGGTTATAGTCATCCCTGAAAAAGTCATGGATTGCATTGAGTTAGTTCTTGATCCAGAGACGGAAACACGATTAGTGGAACAAAAACGCGTGCCGGGTGAAAACAACGTTGGTATGGTCGCGTGGAGAATCACCCTGTATACACCTGAATATCCCCATGGGAGGGATATCATAGTCATCGCCAATGATATCACTTATCTCATCGGATCATTTGGTCCCAGAGAAGATAAAGTCTTTGCCTTGGCGAGTGAAGTCGCCAGACAACTCAGAATACCAAGGATTTATGTTTCTGCCAATAGTGGCGCGCGTATTGGTCTGGCGGAAGAAGTAAAAGCCCTGTATAAAATCGCATGGGAGGACCCCAATGAACCCGACCATGGATTCAGGTACCTATACCTAACACCTGAAGATTACGCTAAGGTATCATCGTTGAACAGTGTCCGGGCTGTATTGATCGAAGACGAAGGTGAGTCCCGCTATAAACTGACAGATATCATCGGTAAGGATGACGGGTTAGGTGTGGAGAATCTACAATATGCTGGTATGATTGCCGGTGAGACATCCCGTGCGTATGACGAAGTGGTTACCATTTCGATGGTATCCTGCCGGGCGATTGGCATCGGCGCGTATCTGGTACGTCTCGGACAACGCGTGATACAAATCGATAATTCCCACATTATCCTCACCGGGTATTCCGCGTTGAATAAACTCTTGGGTAGGGAGGTATACGCTTCCAATAACCAACTCGGCGGGATACAGATCATGTACAATAATGGCGTGTCACATAAAACAGAGACACGGGATCTTGATGGTGTGTATACAATTCTAAAATGGTTGTCATACATACCAAAGGATAAAATGTCCATGGTACCTATGATTAAACCCACGGATCCGATTAGTAGGGAAGTGGGTTATATGCCCACCAAAGCACCGTATGATCCAAGATGGATGCTTGCTGGTAGGTTCAATCCGAATAACATGACGGAATGGGAGACGGGGATTTTTGATAAAGATTCATGGTCGGAGATTATGCAACCATGGGCACAGACTGTGGTCACAGGTAGAGCTAGATTAGGAGGTATACCGCTAGGTGTGATTGCTGTGGAGACCCGCACGGTTGAACTGAACCT